AGCTATAATTTATAATAATATTAAGTCTAATCATAATACCTAGAAATATTGTATCGTCTCACTAAAATGCATTTTACCTTTTGTATATAATTAAAACGTTTTTTTTTTAAACATAGAAAAAAGGATTAAACAGTCCAGATAAAATATATAATTCATTTGTTACAACGTTGTCAGAAATCAATAATTAATCAATCAATGATTAAAACAACAGCTTTAATATGCATCAATGCGCAGTAATGCGTCCAATCGAATTCATTAGTTTGCGCAGTTATTCATTATTCGACATACGTTATTTTTCGCGCGTGTTTATTATTTTCTATATCTCGAAAAAGGATAGAAGTGAACTCAAACGAATATTTACGTCTTGCGGTTTTTTACATGAGAGCGTCACGTGCGTGTTATATCTGCTTACAGAGTATATGATGTTGGAAGGTGGACTGGCACCTAGTATCAGCCTCTCGTGCTACATGCTATTCAAAAGATTCACGTACTAATTGCTAGTTGCACCCACGTGTATGTGTTGAACTTCCACAAATTGCAAGGTGTACTGCACTGTAACCCCATGACGCATTTAATACATGGCCCGCCTGGAGAGTAAGTGTCTCTTTCACGAGTATTTTCCATATTTTCGCAGAATCGTTTTATTTTCGCAATGACAGGATCGGCGAAACAGTTTATCGTACGTACACACATATGTACACATGACCATCTTTATAGGCGAGAAACAGTCGGGATCGCGTCGGAAGTGAAAGAAATCTCATTGTTCATTAATATCGTATAGATTGATATATTCTACTGTAAAAATATCACACTTGTAGAAATATCAATACTGCTGGCTACTGTTCAATTAAATATGCTTGAATGATAATCCTTAATTGCTTATTTCGTACGTTTTCATTTGAAATGTTATTATAAAGAATTATTAAAGGAAGTACGAAGAAATAAACAACAAATACAATAAATACAATAAAACTTATAGCTTATTTGCTACAACGATATATATAACTAAAAAATGTGATTTCTAAGTTGTTTACAACTTAAAAAGGAACAAATGTTTAAAGTTCTTGTTATTAATAAAACAATATAATTGAATTTTTAATAACTCTTAAGCCTCCTTAGACATAATGCGAGACAACAATGACAAAAACAATGAGAGAAATAATATAAAAATAAGTGGTTAGTATTAATAGTATAGAAATAAGTATAATTGTCGCCTTCCATCATTATAAATTGCTGCGAAAGAAATAAAGCCCATTCTACAATTGCGTAAATGTATTTGTGAGAGGTTCCATAATTACAAGAATTGACCAATCACAGTCAAATTTGAAAATACTCGATTGTGATTTGATGACAATTCTTATGACTACACCACTTACAATTACGCTTACGTAATTGTAGAATGGGCTTAAAAAGTCAACCAATCTGATCGCGTATAGACTGCAGTATATACTCTTCTATCTGCTTCACGATTATAACAGAATGAATGATATGTGAACAGAATGAAAAATCTGATCACTAGTAAGCAATAAAGCGATAAACACAGAATTTTAAATCGCAAATTTACCTTGTGGGAAATTTGCCTTATTCTATGTTCCTACGTGTTCCATTGACATATACATTCCCGAATATTGGATTCCTCTGCTTCTATCCCTATCGTTATTTTTATCATTATGTTTAGGGCTTTAGGCTGTGTTCCAAAATTCACTGCCAGCGCTAAAAATCTGTAGTTTACGTTACATGCACTATAGATTTTCAGCACTGTAACAGTAAACAACTGACAGTAAATTATGAAACATAGCTTTAATTGAAAAGAAAATTGGAAAATATTTACTACAGGAGATCCAGCTTCGATGATCTTGAATGATCTCCAACAAGTTTTAGTTGGTATTCGTTACTTGTTAAAAAGTTATTGATAAAAAATTTCATTATTTTACGGGGCGAAATGAAATCTAATTCAAACTCATTTTCTGAAAAACATTGTTTTTGTCTTTTTATGATGTAGCAAATTAGCGATATTGACTTGTCGAAACAATCGGATGTTTCTTTCACTGCAAAGCCTTCAGTTGATTTGAAATTGATTCTTCCTCAGCAAAAATAACCAAACAAGCATCTATAGTCTTAGAATCAATGATTAAATTTGGAATGTATTCTTTATTAGTTTATTTAGTTATTAATTGTATTCTTTAATTAATTTCTCAATGTATTCTTTTGTAATGGAATTTTGATTTAAAGCTTTTAGTTACAAATATAATATGTATGTACGATCTTAAAAAGATTGGAAAAATCGCATCTGGTAACTCAATCGCATCGATAACTTAATATTTTTTTGTTGAGAAAACCATTTTTAAATCAGTCATTGAATCCAAAAAACATCCTGCATAAATCTCCGCTGGATAGGAGAGCAATGTAATTACGTGCATTTATTATTGCAGTACCGAGCATAGTGGTGTATAAAAGAAGCAGGTCGCAGGACCGACCTGAGAGTCCTACGGTGGTGGTGCAAGGAGGAATGCCCTCACTGCCGTTCTCCAAGCAAGGCCTCGCCATAAGTGGCTGCGGTGGTGCGCCTCATCAGGACGCCTCGGAGTCAGATATGATAGACGGGAATGCCAACCCTAACGTAGGCACATCCCCCGTACCGAATTCGCTCCACCGTCCCGCTTCCTCCTGTTCGCCATCCGATAAATCGGACACTGAAAGCAAGAACTTTCGCAATCGGGTATGTACTTCATTAATCACTGCTAGTTCATTATTTTCTGCTTATCCTTTCTCATTAGAAACTTTAAGTTTGGAGGAAGTTATTAAAGGAGACGTTTGGTTCAGGAGGCTGAAAAATAGATGATTTTTTGTGATTTTTTTTCCTTAAAGAAATCAATTACGACAACAATATTTGTACACTATTAATCGATAGTGAAATAATGACTCAAATACAATAAATATATATAATTACTTAGACCTCATCAAATAAGATATACTATTTATATTTTTCTATATTAGACAAATCTTTTTTTAAATAAAGCATAATGCTATAATAACTAATTAATCATTGAGATAAAAATACATTCAGAAGTTCTTCATTAAAGTCGCTTACTCCACGAGCAGTATGCGACATTACCACCAGAGAGACGCAGTGAAGTTCAATTTCTCCTAAGAAGAAAATCTCTCAGCATATAATAAAAGGCGCATTGGCTTTGAACTTCGAAAACGAAAGTAAATGAGAAATACCTACATCTCGACAGTACAATACTGTACAACAGTTTAGTACTGTACAAAAATTCAGTAACTTTATTGCTGGAAAAGTTATATACAAGATATCCCATTTTAATAGCCGCATTTGAATTTCTTTTAAATTATGCAGGATGTCGAAATTTTATTTTTATGTGATATCAAGAGGAACATATTTTGATTAACAAGATTTGATCTTTGATGTAAGTATAAAGATCAAATAAAGGTCAACTTCATTTTTGTAAATGGCAACCTAATTTTTTAAATACGTTCCATACATAGCCATATTCATAACGAATTCAACATTTATTTAGTGGAAAGTCAAACTGCACAGTTCTATTTTCCACTAAATAACGTTTTAGCGTTCACTATATATTACAAAAATTCCCTATTACGATTGCAGAGTCCAAAATACTTCAAATCACATGTTTCCAAAATCACTGAATTGGAAGAAGTGGCTCTATTACTTAACCAGTTAGATCACCAGACCTAATGCCATTAGATTTCTTTCTTTGGAGCTTTCTTTAGGATATTGTATATCGGAAAAAATTGAATAATTCTGATGCGTTCAAAGCTCGATTTACAATGGTTTATCAAAACTTTTTGCTGACAATGCTATCAAATGTGTCGCGATCATTTATGCCCGTATTCATAGTCAGACCTTATATTTAAAGCTTCCTTAAATTTATTTTCAAATGCTCTAAGAATTATTTTATTGGCTACTGAGCATTTGAAGATAAATTTAAGGAAGCCTTAAATATAAGGTCTGATTCTATGAATACAGACATTAGACATCTTATTGCTCTCTATATTCATAATCAGGGATGGAGGTTCGTACATGCACGAATTTACATTAATGTAAATTCGCGTTTGAGTCATTTGATCTTCGACATCCTTGAATCATAATGTGTTGAGCTCGGAATGAATATATTTACAAACATAGATGTTTAAAAAATTAGGTTGCTATTTACAAAAATATTTAATTTTCATTTGAACTTAATTCAACTCAACAGCTTCCACTCAAAGTCAAATCTTAATTAATTAAAATATATCCCCCTCGACATTACATAACATCGTAAAAACAGAATTTCGATATCTTGCATAATTCCGGAGAAATTCAGACGTGTTGATTAAAATGTGTGTGTGTGTGTGTGTGTGTGTGTGCGCGCGCGCGCACACACACACATATGAAGACAAATAGCGTCACAACTATATATTATAAAATTTTAATAAGAACAACAAATAAATTAAATGAATTATGAAAATATAGTAATATTTAATCGTTTGTAGTAAATGAGTAATATTACTATATTTTTTTTATATAACTTAGTTTATATAACTTATTTATTGTTTTTATTAGAATTTTAATACATAATTGAGACATTATTTGTCCTCAAATTTCTAGTTACTGATATGATTTTTTTCTTTGAGTGTACGAGTCTGTCCCAAAAGTATTCAACTTCTGCGTATATCTTTGTCCTTAGCAGTCCATTGAATGCATTTCTATTGTGGAAAACAGATATTCACTATTTAGAGGAGATCTTGAGGAATGTCCCTACCAAACGGCATTGATAGTTTTTTTTAATATTGTCAAAGCTTTTTGCTTTTCAATGGATTTTTTAACTTGGGAAATAATTAGAAGTCACACGGAACTATACGGGACTATACAAGGATTGGCGAAATTGAGATAGACAAAGACGGGTTTAGTAAAAAAATCTTGAATTAAAATTAAGATTAATCCTGAGGTAAGATGAATGTCATTGTGACGCTCAAAGTTTTCGATACTCACACATCTGTATACCCATTACTGAACAGCCGTCGTATCATTTGATGGTATTTCTCAAGGTCCTTCCTAAATATTGAATGTCTCTTTTTTACAATAGAGGGAAAATGACAAAGCAGGAGTTGGGAAGGACAAAATAGAGTTGGGAAGCATTAGCCTAACCCGTTGCGTACTTTTTCCGTTGCTTCTTATAATAAACATGACGTTGCAATTTTTTATAACTAAACGTTAAGATTGTGCTAAAGTTGAAAAAATCGAGTGCAACGTCATGTTTATTATAAAAAATAACGGAAAAATGACGAAAAAAGTAACACTTCCCAACTCTAGGATAAAGATATACACAGAGGTCGGATACTTTTGGGATAGATCTCTCATAGATATTGAAAAAAAAATTATAAATCATTTATTCCTTTTTTATTTATATTTTTCGAATTTGATAAATATTGAATAATAAATGCGAATTGAAAATATTATATCTACGAATTATACAATATTGCAACGACGCATCAAATGTACATAAAGAACCCTTGATGTTACAGACGAACACGAAACTAAAACTGTTAGTCAGAAGTCATGCCATGAGAGAGTCGACATCCCCACCGCGGGAACCGCACGGCAACGGTTCAACGTCGCCGCACAGTCCGCAATCGGCGGATGGCGAGAAAAAGATCATATGCAGCCTCTCGCCCAATTCTGGCGCCAAGCTCAACAACAACGAATCCATATTCAATAGCAATCTTTGTTCCGCTCAATCTCCCAAACAGATGCGCAACACGGCGACGTCGCCGACTTGTCGGGCACCGTCGCGAAATGGTAAAGCGATTTCTTTCCTTTTTTTGTTACGCTTTAAAGGTAAAATTATTTAATTTCGAAACTTTTATCTCGCAGGTCAATCTAGTCCTTCTCAGGTACATTCACCAAAGAGCATCACATCTCCAACTAATGGCAATAAATTGGAAAACCACCGTTCCAAATTCGCTAGTGCGAATATCATTCAGAAATGCAATAACTGTGTAAAGAACAATCAAAATGAGCGACCAGGTTTATTGCAGACTCCGATATCACCCATCAGATGCGGTCAAACCTTGCAGCATTCGCCGAAGAGCACCAATCTTGCTCCGTGCGGCCAGAATAATCAGCACAAATCCGAGCAACGAAGGCCGAACACATTGAACATTTGTAATAATCAATGCTCGGCGCAATGCGGCAACACACTCTCAGTGACCAGGCCCGGATCTAGGCACAAGTTAAGACACCAGAATTCGTCCCAAGGCAGTTACGATAGCGCATCGCCATGCCTTTCACGCGGTATGTTGCTTGAATACAATACGTTTTCCTTTTCCTTAATCTATTTCTAACTAACAAATATAGTACTATAATTAGATTGAAATGATTCAGCGTGTCTTGATGTGTGATAATAATATTTACAATTTATTATCTTTTAATTCTTAATACACATAATTGGATCATTGTCAGCGTTTTTTCCTTTGAAATATAATTTACACATTTTTCTTCAATATGTCGATAATCTCTTATCTCTTCATTATTTATTACATGAAATAATAGTTTATTTTTCAAATCTTTTGAATCTCCGACCTAGGATAATAGCAATGAAATAATTTTATTTTATAAATATGCGTGAATAGAACCCGTAGACTCGGACCTTTTACCTAATAGGCAACTATCCCACTTGAGATATCCGATGGATATCTCCAAATATGCAAGAAAATTACTATTTTTAATTCCTATACTACGGTCTATAATATCAAATTTTCTATTTATTTACAGATAGTAGCACGGAGCTATATACGGACAGCACCGGGATAGATCTCGAACAATTCATTGCAGAAACTATAAACCGCAATCAGAAGGATCGCACAGTGTTACTAAAGATTGAGAAAGATTTAATCGATTTCGCGAAGGATCGACAGAAGGTTTCTCACAAATTCCCGAACATGTCTTCGTATAACAGAATGCTAGTGCATCGAGTGGCAGCTTACTTTGGGATGGAACACAACGTGGATCAATCGGGTTTAAGCGTTATCGTCACGCGGACGAAAAACATGCGAATACCAGATACTCGTTTTAAAGAGCACATCAGAGATGATCTGATCCTATCAGAGGAGCCGCGAAGAAGTATCCTGAAACGAGATTCGAGCTCGTTTGAGGATAGTTTTAATTTCAAATCGCCTGATAGATTGTCGGGCGATTGCTGCCGGCGTAGCAAGAGTTTCGAGGAACGAGAAGAGGAATACGAACGCGCCAGACGAAGGATATTTAAAGATAGTAGTGGTGAAAGCAGCGAAGTTACATCGTGGCCGTGGTCCTCAACAGAGAGTTCAGATGCCTCTGCGAAATTTCGCTTGCTACATCCGGATCATCTAGTCAGGTAAATCGCGTCTAAGCTTTTTATTGCGTCTGATAATAGTTATAAAATACTCGAATATGTCTCTCGATAATGTTGTATTGATTATATTATTCATATATGCATCTTCAGGCAAAATCGACTTCTGAAGGGCGAATCTTTTGATGGAAGGGATTCATTCCGCGGCGGAGTGTTGCGCCCATCAGTTTCTAAGTCATTCAGTTTCGGTGGATATACCAAAGGCATGTTGACAAGGGGAGATAGTGTTACATCCACACATAGCGCAGGAGCTCGCCTTATGAAGCAAGGTAATTATTTGTAATTGTGTACGAGATTGAAAATAAATATTTTTTAATATTATAGTGATATTCTGTTGTTGCATTATTGTCGCCTTTGCACGCTTTCTTCAGTCTATTATCGTATATGATATCGTATATGATAAATGTGTCGTAGATTCTGGGGCGAGCATGTGTTCACGTTTAAGTCCGAGCCGTTCGAGTAGCGGCTATAAATCGCAAAGTCAGCGTAGTGACGCGACGTTATCGCCATCTCTGTCACCTTCTCCCGTACCTGCCACTATGACGTGTAGCCACACTCAAGTGTCCAGTCAGGACTTAATCTCGCCAGAGTCGAACGGTGGCCAAACGGTTATGTGGGCAGTCACTAGTTTGTCCAGCGTACCACCTGGCAGCATAATAATAAACCCACAAACCAATCAGCCATATACGAACACGGACGGCTCGATTTATCGTTTTGATCCAGACAATCCACCGAAGTTCTTTAATATGGAGAATGAAAATGGCACACCATTGTCCACTAATAAGCAGCAGCAACACATGGAATTGCCCTCTGAGCCGTCCAGAACGAATAACAATCTCAAGAATGACAATAGGAAACAGAGATCGCCGCAATCGAGGATCAATGTTACGGGGGCGTCTACCGGGGCCCAAGTAACGAACACAGCGACATCGCCAAGTCTGCCATTCACTCCGCCGCCACCGCCACCACCTCCTCTTCCTCCTACTTCTATTCCGCAGAATCCACCCATTCTACAACAAGCGCAGCAACAGCATCTCCAATCTCAGCCGCATCCGCAGCAGCAAAGTCTAGTCAAATCGTCAACGACACTACCGATATTTAATCATACTAACCAAACAGCTCAACAACCCTACGCGACCTACGTACCTACCTCAGAACCGTATAATCAAGGTGTCTATCCACCCCCCATGGGACAACCGACTGTGATGATGGCATCTCATCTTACTCAGAGTCAAGCAAGTGTACAAAATGGCGGTCAGGGCGATGTCTTCAATCAGAATCAGGTCTACACCAATTATGCGGTACCTGTGCATCAAGGACCAATATCACAGTCAGGGGTAAGTGTAACAGTAAAAATTCTTTTGTAATAATATTAAATCGACCGAGAAAAGCAACATAAACATATCTAAAAAAATTATGTAGGAATTTATATAGGACCTAGATTTTTGGCCTAAATCTCCATGGGAAATCATGAAATTCCATATGGATTTCCCATATAGGTATCTATCGAGTTACCTGGTTTTCAACAGAACGAACCTCCACTTGCGCCAAGATCGGGAAAGAGAGTTTCATGTGTCCTCCCTCCCCCCCTTCCCTCATTATGAGCTCATGTAGAGATCTAAACGCTAACACTCAATCCAGATTGCCTCTCCGGCATCTCCAATTGAGAGAGGGAACAACATCTTTCTTCTCCTTCCTTTTTTATCATAACTGACTCAGAAGGAGGAGGCCACCTTTCCAGACTGTTTCGCTTCCGAGCATAACCCGGATCAGAATTGGGACCGAAATGTCTTTACCTACAACTTCAGTCTTCAGTTAAGGCTTAGCTCTCCATCGTTCATGCTGAATATACTTTCAATGTGTGGTACTCCGAGTTCCAACGATGAAACACCTTTCAATATTCTCCTTGACCATGTGACACTGGTATTGGTCGAAACATTCGTGACTAGCTATCACCTTTTTCAAATGATAAGATAATCCACCGTAGGAGTCTGCTCTATTTGGACAGGCAGGACCAAAGTGAGTCTTGACAGTCTCACAGCCCGTAATCGCCAGATCGAACAGTTGGTCTTGCTAACATTCAAACGCCGCTCCTTTCTAATTATTTCCTTTCTAATTATATCTCTATGACATGTCCTTTCCCATCCCGTATATCCTGGACCCGTCGATACTATTCGGTGCTAACTAAGAGTTAGATTAGTCATCTAATTCTGATTAGATTTTGATTAAATTAGGTTAAACTTATTAAGAATTTATTTGCCTTTGATTGCCGAGTTTAACAAGTCTGCGCAAGTAATGTGGTATAAATAAACTCGTAAAACTCAACCATAATGCTGTAACTGATGTGCAGGACATGGCCGAGTTATCCGGATATTTCTTAGGTATGAACATTTATGATCAGCGTAGTAATGGGGACAGCCACTCCACGCCTCCGCATTCTACGTATCCGCCATCCTCTGCAAATCAGACCGTGCAAAATGTGCAGTCAATACAACCAAATTATTGGCAACCATCGCCAAATCAAATACCGGTAAAAATAAAATATATGCGATGTGTTCTTTGATTGTCACTTTTGCTTGATAAAAGATAAATCTTTCTAGCCTCAACAGACTATGTATTTTGTACCTCCACCTGGAACGACAATTTCTGTCGGTCAGAATCCGGGAGACAGGCAACAGCTGCATCAACAGCAGAGATTTCCAACGAATTATTCTTTCAACGCGCAAACGATGACGTCTCCGAGCCAACCAAGTTGTACGTTACATCATAATTATTATATTTTTATCTCTTTGTTTCTTTCTGCAAATTTATTTAAAATAATTGACGTTGTGTACTTCAGCTAATTTCGTCGGCAGTTATCCAGTACCTTACAATTCGTTACCAGCAGTAACTCCAACTCCTGGCGATTATACGTATCAACCACCAGTTCAAATGATTCCTACGTATTATCCGCCAGGGCAGCCGGCGATGCAACCACCGCCTGTGATGTACAGAGTACCTACGCCACCGAACACACCAACATCTAGTCAAGTAATTTACTAATCTGTTCATATCGATAATTAATTGCCAATATTAATTTTACAAGAGATAAGATTGATTCAAATAATAAAAAGGTTTACGCGTCAATGCATAACATTATAGCTTATGTCATTTTGTGTTTAATAGTCCTAAAACTCTACACTTTTCGTTGGAATATTTTTTTTGGAAATGTTTAATTTCTGAAATATTAAAATGTTACAATATTTTTTGGAAACTCAGTGAAATATTAATATAAAATATTAATGTATTTGGTATTTTTGTGATTAATAGATACCTGGTATGCCGTTGATGTACGTTAACTCAAGTAGCTATGCAACCCCGACAATGATGACCAGTGGAACATTCGGACATCAGGTCACCCATAACGGTACGTCCCCGGCGCCGCCTGGAGCATATATGACACCCACGTTGGTTCCCAATCTCGTCTTCAGGCAAAATGTTCCGGTAAAAATGCAACAGCAACATCTATATATACTATCGATAAGTTATCAGGCAACTGTCAACGACTAAAGACATTTTCTTGAAATAGATCGTTCCCAGCGTGCGGGCGACAACGCCAGGTAATTCCCAAAGAGCCAGTCGATCTCCAACTCCGGCGCACGAGTTTTTCGGAGGTGGGAGCGGGGACCGAAGCGCACAACCTCAACCACGTTACCCACTGCCAATGTATCAGGGTGTCCATATCGTGCAAGGTATGATCTTTTTAAATATAACTTACATTCGTTAAATCGTTTTTTAACGGCATTTAAAATATATTTGTAAATACAGGGGACATGAGATTGATGCACTCAGGCGTACCATCTAATTCCCGGTTGCAGTATGCACCAGTATCATCACCGCCTGTTGTTCAAGGCTGCCCGCGGCCTTACAGGCCACCTTCGTCTAACACTTCGGGTGCCGGTACGCCGATTTCCTTTGACGGCAGAAATCAGAAAATTCGTAAACATAGGTAGCCTTGAAACTCACATTATTTCTATTCTTATTAAATATTATTTTTTGTTTCTCACAGTAAATTTATAAATTTATTATCTCGTGTAATTCAGGTCCAAAATAACATCTTTGCCACCAAGCGGCGCACGACCCAATTTTTATCAAACATCTTCCATGTCATCGCTTCCATCGAACATACCCAAAGACATCAGAGAAGGTATGAAAAATTAGCAAAAAGTATAGAGAGAAAGAGAGAGAGAGAGAGAGAGAGAGAGAGAGAGAGAGAGAGAGAGAGAGAGAGAAAAGAATTCGATGTTTACGCTCAGTATGTTGCTTAAAATTTAGTTATTTTCTGCTTTCATTTTGCTTATAAAGTGTAACACAATTTTGACACATTCTTGTCTCCTCTTAAAAGCGAAACCTATGGAAGACAATATAATATAAGGTACAGAACTTAAGTATAAAATATTACACAGAACACACACACAGTGTCTTCTTTGTATAATAGGGGCTTTTTCACGTGCGTTGATTTATCTTTATTAATATTTATCGTTTTTTTTTGTTTGTACGACAACGTGCTGGAAAGTGATTCCTACTTCTATAAATTTATTAAGTAATTTAAATGACTATATATATATTATACATCTCTCGAGATAATTATGGTCTTTTTGAGCTTATGATATAACGATTAATGTCAGGCAAAAATACAAATTTATTGATATATAGAGAAAGATACTGAAAGTTAAAAATTTTCTTACGGAAAAAAGTAGGAGAGATATCTTTTCATTGCACATGTTTTATTGTTGCACCGTGCTTAAATAGTAACGCACGGGATATTATTCTGAATTGATAAGAAAATGTTTAGAAATGTTCAATTTTTATTTTTAATATTACAAAGAAAAAGAAACTTTTTTCTTTGTAAAAAGTATATATTTTTACTTTTTAAGTGTATCTAATTGAAAATTAAGAAAAAACAGTTCTGGAATGTTTTCTTGTAGCTATTTTGTTATAACGACATTGAATGTGTTCTTTGCACATTTTTTTCTAACTTTTCTTTACATGTACCGTATATATATTTTTCATGCTTATTATGCACTCGGATTGGCAAGAGATACAAATAATATTAATTTAATCAACTTCATCAAATTGACATTAGAGAATATGTTCTCTTTTTTACGTTGACTTTATTTGGTTACAATTTGTTGTACGAATTTTTTTGTTTTAAAAAATATTTTGTTTTTACATAGGCTTCTTTTATAAGTTATGGTTGATGTAGCTATAGGGGAAAGTGGAGGAATTGTGCGCACTTAAGAGGAATTCATTGCTGTGATGTGATTTTTGAAGTTGAAATCAATATAAACACATCAATAAACTGTCATTTTATTTTTAAAAAATCATCATTTTGACGTCAAAGTACGTCATTTTTCTTTTCTTTCGATTTTATGTATTTCCTTGAGCTGTTAATGTAACACCATACGTGTTATATTACATTTATATTGTGGAATACGAAATGAAACATTAATATTTTGTTACTTTAGTTTGTCGACTGGGCAGAGTTCCATATCTTCCGAATTTTTCGCAAATAGTATATTTTTCATTGGGAGAAACCTTTGAATTGTCAATGCACACAATTTCTCGCCGCGAATTGATTTGAGAAGAAAATCAATTACTCAAAGATTTTTTAACTTAATTCAATGAATAATCTCAAAATATGCATACAACGTATTTTAATAAGATATGCATGATTAAATAAATAAAATAATATAAGAATACGGATTTATCATCTTATTTTCTAGATGTCAAGATTATTATCAAAATGTATAACTTTTTTCATTTTTAACTACATTTTCAAAAATCGTATAACTTATGATTATATCTGAAAAGAATTATATCTAGCCTAAAAATTTTGTCGCGATACCGGCTCCATTTATCGAAAAAGTGCTAAACCAAAATGCGCACAATTATTCCACTTTTCCCTATATTTTTTGTTTTAATGACATTCATTTATATTTGCATCAGAACTCATTTGTATTATATATATCAAGAAGAGCAACGAATTCTATTCTATCCTCAGAAGTAACATTTCTTTCCAGGAACGGTGAAAGTGACCATCACCCGTCGGAATCAGGTACAATTTTAAGCAAACGGATTGACAGGATAACATCACTGATAATGCAAGTCATAAAATTTTGATTATGAATAATAATCAAGATTGACAACTTACTATTCAGCTTTACTGTTCAGAGACACGATATATTCCTAAGGGTTTGCCATATTATTATTTATATACGAATAATTATATATAAATAAT